ATTTAGCATTTCTCTGTTGGAGAGCTCTGGTGCCACAACAAACTTTGAAATAAATAATGTTAAGAATTTTAGTAAAATGTAATTATGGGGTTTTTTTTAAAAAAAAAAATTGTAATCAATGTTTTAGCTCTATCTTTTTAAATTATTGTCACCCGCCTTGAATCCCATTGTCTGAGAAATAAATCCTTAAAATAAATAAATAAATAAATAAATAAATAAACAAATACAAATCCCAGCATTCCATGGCAGTTAAAGTAATGTCAAACTGGATTATTTCTGCAGTGCGGATGCAGTCTCAGTCTACTTCTTCTGGTGCATCTTCTTCATCCACACATTTACAACTTCTTTGATACACTTAGTCTCAAAGCTGCTGCCAGTTCCTTTCGTGTGGTTCAACAAAGTTACTTTCCCAAGTAACTTTAGCCAAACCCTGATTAGGATATGCAGCCGCCTCTCCCACGCCCCCATGTTTCCAACTTGAATTGATGCCAAAATAGCTCATACACTTCCGTATTTTTAATTTACAGTCCCTGGCATGCATTTGGACTAAAGTTTATGAAAGACTTCAGCAACAGTCTGAAGAAGGAGAGAGAATCCAGTCCTCTTTTCTCTTTCTTCCACAACATCCTGGCCATGGGAGAGATAAAGAGGTGTTAATAGGTAACCAATTGCCAAAAAAGGTCTTGAAAAGTCTCCTTTGCAAAACTTGGGACCAGACTGCAGCAGCCAAGACACACAGACAAAGAGTTCAAATGCATCTGAGGAAGTAGATTGAAGTCTAGGAAAGCTCCTGCTGTCAATTTCTTTCTTTCCGTGAGTCTCAAAGGTGCTACAAGATCTCTCTACAAATTAATATGTAATGTAATGCAATGCAGTGTAATGTAATATATCAAGAGCCATAGTGATGTAGTGCTGTGAACATTGGAATATGAATCTGGACTCTCTGGTGATCAATATGCAAATCCCCGCTCAAGTATGAAAACCCGCTGGGTGACCTTGGGCAAGTCACACTCTCTCAGCCTCAGGGGAAGTCAACGTCAAACCTCCTCTGAACCAGTCTTGCCAAGAAAACCTTGTGATAGGGTCCCCTTAGGGTCTCCATAAGTCTAAAACGACTTGGAGGCAAACAACAACAACAACAACAACAACAACTTTATTATTATTATTATTATTATTATTATTATTATTATTATTATTATTATTATTATTATTCCATATAGGAACTGGAGAGGAGATGCTTTGCAGGCTCGCCTTGGCAAACGCTTAAAAACAACAACTACAACAACAACAACCTGGATCATTCTAATTCAAAGAATAAAGACAGCAAAGGGTGCATCCGCACTGCAGAAATAATCCAGTTTGATCCCACTCTAACTCAATGCTATGAAATTTGGGAATGGGCAGTTTTGGAAGAAGTTGAGCCTTCTCTGTCAAGAGAGCACTGGGGCCACAACAGACGACCATTCCCTAGCATCCCGCCATTCAAGCGGTCTCAAACTGGATTAATTCTGTAGTGCGGATGCAGCCCGAGGAGGGACATCCTCCTCTCTAGAAAAACAAAACAAGTTCAGAAAGAGGGTGGCGAGAGAAGGAAGAGGAGAGAAAGAGGGGAGAAACGGATTTCTTTGCCCAGAGTGAAAGGAAGATTGGGAATGGGACGACCCCAGAGACCCCCCCCCAGCGGGCGACACGCGTCTTGCACGTGGGAACGCGCAACTTTGCGGGCAGCCTGACTCACCGACGCCGTACTTCTCCCGCTTGGTGGGGATCCAACGGGCCATCCCCGGATCTCTCCCTCTTTCTCTCCGGGATCTGCTCGGTTTCTCTGCCTGGGCACTTGGGTTCCAGCTCAGCCTCCTCCAGCCTCGGTTGCTACCGGCTCTCCGGCCATGCCGGCAGGGTGGGATCGGGTGGGATCTACCGGATACCTCCTTGGTAAAGGGGCCCGGGGTGGGCCAGAATCCCGGATCCCTCCCTGGCAAGGGAGTAAAGGGTTCCTTCCGATCTACCTGATCCCTCCCTGGCAAGGAAATCCGGGGGGAGGGGTTCCGATCTACTGGATGCTTCCTTGCCAAGTAAATCCGGGGGCGGA